TTTCCAGAAATTTTGCTTGCTATTCAACACAAATCCACTAAAAAGAGAGGATAGAGCGACAGCATAGCTTCCCCTATGTCTAAACATCTGGCCAATAAACAGTGGCGTGGAAATTGTAGAAGTGACGCTATTAAGAACTTTTGCCACTGATGTGTTAAAATAATAATGGTGGTATAGTTTTCTTCTGAATCTTATTTCAGTCATAATGAAGAGAGGATCTCTTTTGTTTTGTAGAAACCTTACCTGAAGCTACTTTTACATTTTTTTGGATTAAATCTCTGTGTATTGTTTTCCCCCTTCTTCCAATTCACTGACATACTGCAGGCTACTGCTGCTGGCCCCCTTAGAGAACTGAGGTGAAAACTTGAGTGATGTCCCCTGTCTAAGAGGAGCCCTCTCAGTTTTACACCAGCCTTCCCATCGTGCTCCCACTGGGACGTCCCTGTCATGCAATGAGCTTGTGGGCCCAGAGAACTTCGGTGAATGCTATGCAAGGTGAGTGAGGCTTAAAGTGCTCTCACTCAAGTCTGTGTTGTTCCTCGAAATGCTTTCCTGTTGTTAACAGAACATTAGTAACCCACTACTTGTAGAAAACTGTGTTGGAGGAATTTTGTTATTTATTTTTACAAAATTTTTATACAAAAAAATGCTTTAAAATTTCTGAAAAAACTTTACAAGGAGATAACTCATTTGAATCTTGTTCTTTAGTAGCAGGAATTCACATGCAGATGTTAAAATGAGCAAAGAGTCCTTGCCCAAGGTCAGCGCATCAGAAAAGCGTCTTGAATGAACATGATCTGACGGCTTTAAAGTTGTCTGCAAATCTTCAGACAGGAGGTAACATCCTAACATGGTTCTACCCCAGTTCTGTCAGCCCCAACGCTGTTGCAGGCGTGCTACATCTAATGAAATAAAATATATCATCAGAAAGTGTCAAGTTGCTGTTTGGAAGGAAGTGGAATCAAACCCAGACCTGCATGCCTTGGCTTCATTATCTAAATATAACACAATCCTCCTCCCCCCCCCCCAAAAAAAATAAAAATGTCTTTGTATGTCACTTTCATGGAGGAGTCTCTGGTGGCGCTGCTATTTCACTTACTTTAGGAAACTGCTTGACTGGTATTAAAACTTTCTGGCCCAGTTTCATGTTCTTGTTGATGACGACGTCAATGAACTTCTCCTCCTCCTTCCCCTCGTCTCTCTGGATTTTTTCGATCTCTGGAAGTAAAAGAAAAAAGGAACAATCATCATCAACCCTTTAAGTGCGATTTTATGCTTTAACAAGGCGACTTTTTCATCTTGAGACTTTAATTTTCATTTCACTTTCCTTTTTTTTTTTTTTTTCATGCTCGATAACACAACCGCTGATGCCAAATCTAACACCCTGTTCTACACGTTTTGGACAAGCCAGATCTTTGCAAGTTAAAGGAACATAAAAAGCAGTTTGCTTTTTCAATACTTGTTTTCTGACACTTGCTGTTGCACCTTTTCTGCTGTCTAATTAAAGACATTATGCTATTGCTCTCACTGTAGCTGGTTTGCACTCTGAAAATAGTAACTGGCATTAGAAACTTGGGGTCTCTAAAGCCTCCATTTTTTCATGGCTCATAGAAACACTCAACCAGTCAATGGCAATCTAATCAGAGATAAAAACCTCGGCTGAAGGTGGTTAATATTCAGTGGGGTGACATTTGCGTCCAACACGCAGATGAACTGATATCTGAGTATAAATCAGCCTTTACGCTCCACACAGCCAGAGTTATAATGGTAAGGTTAACTTCAGCAGTTTTACACATTAAGAATGGCCCAGACAAAGTAAAGACCAAGACTCACGTAAGAATATGTGGCAAAAATGATGTCCAGACTTTCATTAAAATCATTTTCCCTAAATGCAGTGATGGGAGTAACGGC